ACTTGCATTAGATATACTTTCTCGCCCAAAAGGTAGTTCGCGTATGCCAACCATGCATCTGGAGACATGTCTGCAAAGAAAACCTTGTTCTTGAACTTAGAAGCAAGCATGGTCCAAGCATTGCCCTCCACTCGCAGTACTGTGCGCAGCTCCTCGGTGTGCTGTGGCATCACACCCTTATTTCTCTGCTTCACTATCCGCACGTGGCCCCCAGTGTCAACAGTAGTCTGTATCCCCATTGTCCTCACACGCTTCTTCGAAGTGACCTCTGACAGAGCACTTGCAGAAATCTCCCCATTCTCTATCTCTTCTAACTTCGCCGACATATAATCATCAGAGGGTTCGAATGCTTCTTCGAGGCTGCCGTGTGCAGCTTCATATGCTGCACGCATCGCTTGCTTCTCTGTTTGCGATACTGGTCGGCTGACGCCCAGCATGCGAGCCTCAGCCCGCAATTCAGACTCCTTGCTTGCATACTCTTTCGCAGTCTCCCAAGCGGAGACCACGGAGGCCACAGCTGCCCGGGTCGCCTGATCAGCCGCCTCTAAAGCATGATCATCCTTCAGAGCAGTCCGCACATCTGCCCGGGAATCGGCATATGTAGAAAAACGCTTGACAGATTGGAAATTCAATGTGAGCCGGTACTGCAGCCCCAACGGCACACCACATTCTTGAAAGATATGCACCAAGTCGGAGCTCACATTCTTATCCAGATGACTCAAGGCAGCTGCCTGGTCCACACCGGCCGGCAGGTCGGTCGCCATGCTCGCACGAGCGCGCTGAGGTCCTTAAGAACACATGTGACGATGTCTGCAAAATGACCTAAGCACTCAGTGTGATCCTCCCAGGACAAATCAATTGTTCTGTGAACACTTAGTTCCTCGACCTTCAAGAGGAAACTTTGCATCACATCTCCCTTGAGCACGCAATGATACACGGATCAATCGTTTCAGCTTCGGATGCGCTCCACCGGCATCCCTTCTTCAGCTGCACTCCACCAGCAGCTTAACTCTTCACTCTCATGCTGCGCACTCCACCGGCAGTTGTCGCAAACATGCAAACGATCCCCTGTTTTGCTCACGAAAGCTCCAGGATCACTCAACCAACAAAATTCGGAATTAACCCTTCGGGCTCCTCCGGTTCCACCGGATTCTCCACCTGAGTGTCCTCAGATCCACTAGTTGACGAGCCTTCGGCACTCTCAACCTTGGGTTTGCACAATTTGCAAACAGCGTCAGCGATGCCTTCTGACAACTTGAAAATCGGGAGTGTCTCCAAGCAATTCTATCGCCGCACAGCGCACTTCTTTGAAAGATGCAAGCGGCGAAAACCCTTTCTTGAAATCGTGATGAAGTAGGGTGCATCATCCCTGTCCTCCTCTTGCTCGAAGTCTTGGTAAGGCCCAGGCAGGTCGGCACTCATGTTGCCAGCTGCTGCCCTGACCCTGTCTGGGGAAACATTGAACGAGGGGAAATTTCCCCCGAGCTTCCAAGTCGCCTCCACATCATCCCATTGCAGGACAGAGCAAGCTTTAACAATTTCATCCCCGGCAAGATGCAATGCTTCAGCATATGATCGCATGGTGCAGAACAACTCTTCCTCGGTATACCCGCCATCTGGGTGCCCCACGATGAGGCATTTGCAAATGAAATTCTGCACCCCTTGCACTACTTGCCTCGAAGTCAAGACATAATCTTGTGAGCCATGCTGAGCATAAGCCCAGCGCCCAAGATAGTCCCGCCGGTCCTTGCTCACGCCTAATGCAGCAGCAAGACTGGTAGCAACATGCCGTGAGCTGTGCCCTGTCCAAAAGTTTGCCATCTCCCCTGGGAAAAGCAGCTCACGCGCAACCTTCCAGACCCCTTGCTGTCGCACCGGAGTAGGCAAATGCTTGAGGAGCCGACGCAATTGCAATGCCAGACCTTCAGCATCCAGATAACCCTTGGCAGGCATGTCCCACTCCGCACTGAAGGCAGGGCAAAAGAAATCGCGTGACCATGACAAAGCACCAGCACTCACAAGCTTGAAGCCCTCACCAAGCCAGTCGTAACCACTCAAGCCGACGGTCCTAGCAATGAATGCATGCAGCTCTCCGACCTTCCGCCCTGGCCCACTCGTTTTCGTTTTCTTCAGAATAAAACGAAGACCGACCTGGCTGAGCTTGAGGCTCTCAGGGTCGATGTTCTGCACATCATCACAGCGAAGGCTCGCCCAAGTCATGAGCAGCAAAGTGTATGCAGTGAATCGCAACCCCAGCTCATAAACAGGCCTGCAAACTACCATCTCACATACAAGAAATGCTGCAACTGGAAGCATAGGGGCAGGCTTCACAGCGGGCCCACCTGACTCGAGCTCCATGGTCCAAGACTTCAGACTTTCAAGAAGCAACTGGTCCTCGCTGCATCGGTCCTCAGGAGAAACCATCCCGACCGTCTCAAGTAACGACAAGCTAGCCATTAGTGACCTGGGCACCGTCTTTCCCAGGCTGGTAACGGCATGTCGCTCTTCCAGATACTTCAAGACTTGCCCCGCATCTCGTGGCCATGGCGCCCCATATGTGGCCATCAGCCACTCTCGGAAAGGCTTCCAGGCCCGAGCCCTATTCCGCAATGTTTTGCCACGCCGATTGCCGAAGATCCGAAGCCACTGATGGTTGCTGTCCCCAAGAGCCTCCATTCTAGATGCGCACGGCAACTTGGCCTCCTTGATGTAGGTGACCAACTGGAGAGCCCATCGCTCCCTCATCTGTGTCTCCACGTCCTCGCGGCTTCCAGCAGCTTTGCTCACCTTGACAGCTCGCTGTAGCTGGGCGATGGCCACAGCTGGCGTGGTGGCCACCACCTCCTCGAAGACTCGGTGGATATCGACCGCGGGCCGTTGCACCCGCACTGGCATCGAAGGGATCTGCTTCTGCAGTACAGCTGCCTGCGAAGGCCCTCTCCGGAGTCGCTTCGCCCTCCATTCCCAAAGTGCCTCCGAGATTCGCTCGACCTCCATGGCGGTTTTCTTTCTGCCTAACAGCTCCACCACCAGCTCTGCAGCACCTTCCCTGTCTTCGAAAGCACCATCGAACTGCACCAGGGAATGATAAAGCTTAGCTACCTCGCAAGCCAGATCTTCATCCACGTTCGGGAGCCCATGCCAGTCAGCAGGCTGCCTTCGCTTCAGCATGCCGACACATGGCCCAGCCCATTGCCGAGCCACCGGTCTACTCCCCCCGGCTAACAAAAAAATTTCCACCTTGAGCCAAAATGGCTACAGAATAATTCTTCGTCCTGCAATCAC